ACTTTCATTTTGTATGGCAACGCGTCTGATGAAGAGACGTCTTATTTCCCTTGTCCTACAGCCTTTTTGGATCAGCTACGAGGTTCAGGTTGGCACATTCCATGAGGCATCCTTGTTCGGAATGGGTCAAATTGGGCTTTGTTTTCGACCGTCATTCCAGTTGGACTGAACTCGTTCTTTGTCCAGAAGAAGAGTCTTCTTTTGACATCGACGCATGAATCCCTTGATTAGACACTCTTCAATACAGCATGAAAGTCTTCACAAATGTGCAAAGACCTTCATAACAGCTTATTTTGCTTGAAGTGCTAGAAGATTCTGGAAGGAATGAATAAAAGGCGTCAGGATGTTGCCGAGTGCAAATGGGCCGGGAAATCAGTTTCAACTTCGCCTGGGTTGCATCAGCACTCCAGTGGGAGTATAAAACAAGTTTGTCTGCAAGTCACCACTGCCACAGAGTTGCACACCTGAATAGCTGTTAGCATGACAAATGGGTATTTTCCGTTAGGATATACGATATTACCAGTAACCATTCGAGTAGTATGAGATGTATTCACCATATTTCGTAGTAAAACTTTTCCACAATAATATGAGTTGACCTGACGTAGTGGTCGAAACCGTCAGCAGAGCTTTTTATAAGAGCTTGTTGCATCTGCCCACTGATTCAATGGTACCAATGGCTGCCAAACGGGATGGCAACCAGCTGCATTTTGACACACGCCACCAGGTTTCGAACCCTGTTCCAACTGCACTCCAATTTGGGTCAAAACAATCCCAGCAGGTAAGTCTTAATGAAATGCACTGGCATCATGAAACATTGTACTGGTTTCATTTTTTCGAAACTCAATTGCAACAACTTTTATCACTTTATCCAATCTATACTTTTTTGCAATTCTTCCAACAATAGTTATGCTTTTCTTTTTCATACAACAATTTTTATTTCTTGTATGTATTTCCACTGGTCATTCCTCGTCTTTCGCCTCGCTCGACGAGCCTCCTCAGTGGCGGATTTTTCGTTTTAAAGATTTCCACTCAACATTGAGTCGGTGTAACTGTCCTACCGATTCCTATCACCTGCCC